CTCAAAAATTTGTATTGAAGGATAATTTTCACTGGCACAGACTGCCACCTTTAATTTATCAAAAAAAGATACTATTGGAAACCATCAAATGTTACAGACTCTAAATTCATCTACTCAATCTAGTACAACATTGTGTTTCAGCTGATCACAAGATATATCAAAATATAAGTTGCAACAGAAAATGCTAGTTTTAAGGTTGGTGTCAGTGAGACTGTAAATCAGTAAACAACCGCAGAGCTTACCATTGAATTCTCTAATGCTTGCTTTTCTCTCATGCATGGACATAATTGTGGTGCCATCAACATAAACCTGTGATACAAAGCATTACATTCAATTGTTCGCAATGATTGAGAGCAAAACTCATGCAGGAAAACAAGCATCAACGTGAACAAGTATCAACCTTGTATATTAGGACTCGCAAAAGTCCAAGAGCTCCAGTAAGGTGGCAATCAGTCCATTGTTCCAGAAAAAGGAAAAAATAAACTGCTGGACTATATGAGATTCTCATCTGTAGGCATGCACCATCACACTCCCTTGGAAAATCCAATGCCCTGCCATGACAATAACAGGTTCAATTTACAAAAAATGGGAAAAGTTCAAGAAAAATTACCTCAGTTGAAGCTGATGTAATAATTACCAATAAAACAATACAAAGATAAAGTTGAAGCTGTTAATAAATCAAATAACATAACCAACAGTTCTAGAAATAATAATCTCTTCCAAAAGAAAGTTCCTTTTTTGTAATATCATTTCCATAAAAACCATTTGAATTTTGACACACTCGGGTTAATTTTCATGTAAATTCAACTAAAATGTAATGTGAATAAATTTGCCAAAAAAAGGCACCGTAGAAAAGAAATAAAAAAATAAAGTTAAAAGCCAAAATCCCAGTTGAATATAGAAAAGATACCTTTATCCCAAATTGAAGTAACTACTAAAGTACTCCATAACTATCATCATTTGCAAAACTTCCTAATTCACTACTAGACCTTTAAATTATTTTCTAAAAATTATTAATTATGTTTATTTCCACTAATTTAATAACCAGTAGTCAGTAAAGTACAAAACACAATATTAATGAAATAGGAATTCAAGATAAAGTATAACTGATTCGGGGAAATTTATTCATATAGGAGCATTTTCCTTTGGCTAAGCTAAATACACTGCAACAAAGTCTTCACATGACACCACATTCTTTTCAGGCATTTCATCAAACACTCTCACTGTATCTCCCAAAACCTCACACTTTATGCACAAAATTAATTGAACCAAAAATTCAAAATTTAAAACAAAACCAAATCCATAGCATCAACAAACAAGTTTCAAATTGTCCGGACGAAATTGAGGCTGACCCATGGTAGAATTAGATGCGCTTGGTTGTGAGAAATGTTGTGGTGGTGCTCCACGATCGAGAGGGTGGCCAGATGTGGAAATAACTGGCGAAAAATTGTGACTGCACTCGTGATTTTGGATGGGAATTGGAGTAGTTTCCTGCGGTCGGTGGGCAGGCGATGGTCGGAGGTTGTAGAGGAAAGTGAGGGAGTGACGGTGTTGTGGGGGTTTGGCGGTTTAGGCGGCGGGTGGTGGAAGTCATTGATGGAAGGAGGATGTGGAATCGTAGCTGAGGAAGAATATTGGGGAAAATGGAGAGATGACCGTTTTCCGCGTTTTTGAATTTTTAACGTCTAAAAAGACGTTTTGGGTTTTCAGTTGATTATTTTTTTTGTTTTCAAAAATTTATTTTCGAAAACGGGAAAAAAAACACGTTTTTACTGTTTTGAAAAATCGAAAACAGAAAACGGTCCGAAAACAGCAAAGAGAACATGACCTTATTTTTTTTTTTTTTTTCCAAATTCACTTTTCATGATATATTCTTTTAATAAAATAATTTTACACGTAAACTCAAAATGTTTCTTTACTTTTTAGTTACATATTTTTCAAATATTAGCATTGCAAAATTTATCATCACAAGAAATGGGACTCAAACAAACGTTTGGTATTTTTAGGGATAGTAAAAAAAATTGTTCAACCCGATACTCGTGAGGTCCCGCCCAAAATAGGGCAGGGATTACCTGCCAAATCGGATAAACAGGGTGGGGACGGGGTGAGAGACATTGCCCCGAAACGGGTACGAGAAACATAGTCTCCGCCTTGCTACCCATCTCGTTTAAAGTTAATTTCAAATTTAAATTTTTTATCAAACAAAAATAATAGATTTATCATCATTTTTAAAGAGAATAGAAGTGGATGTGAGGATGGGGTAAAATAACAAAAATACCTGACGGGAGGTAAGAATGATCGACCCATCTATTCATGGCAACGAGCCAAGCCGAAACTCGAATCTCGGGCTCAGCTCTAGCCAAAAAGGGCCGAGCTTTTTTTGGCCTTGCTCGACTAAAAAAAGAGGCTCGGCCCAAGCCTTAGCGGGCTGAGCTAGCTAGGGTTTTTTAAATTTTTTTCTCTTGCGCAAACAGCTATTTTAGCTGCCTGCATTTTAGCTTAATTTAATTTTTTTTAAAAGGGGAAGCTCGTACGGGCCGTTTTCGGCCAAAAAAAGAGGCTCGACCCAAGCTTTCGGCTCGAGCCTTAGCAGGCCGAGCCGGCTCGGGTTTTTTTAAATTTTTTTCTTGCACAGGCAGCTAAAGCTTAATTTAATTTTTTTTTAAAGAGGCAACTCGTACTGGCATAAACGGCCCGGGCTTGAGCAAACACCCCAAAATGGGGCTCAATGGAAGCGAGCCCAAGCCAGGCCAAGCTCGGGCTTTTTTCGAGTCTTGCCCGAACCTTTCGAACTAGCGAGCTTTTTTGCCATCCCTAGAGCCGCCCCATTGTCATCCCACATATTGTTACTCCATCGAGCACATTAGAGCCTTGAATATATCATTTTTCAACCTAGTTCCTTGTCAGAGAGTACTTTACCACGTGCACTCAAATAGCCTCTGATGCTTAGTTGACATCAAAGTCGTTAATAGATCACATGTCATTAAATATAATATCAGAACTGTTTCTCATTAGTTTGTCACCATTGAGAATATTAAAATAATTTATCTCTTCTTAGCTTAAAACACTAAGGGTGTTCTTGATTGACATTATTTTTTTATGAAAATTGTTCAACCAAGTTCCTATTTTTTGGGTGTGTGATTGATATCTTTTCTTTTCGTAAAAAAAAGTATTTTCCAATTTTTGGTTATGTAGCCATATTTTCCTCAAAAATAAGGAAAATATTTTCTAGCTAGGTTTTTATTTTTCAGGTAATTCACTATGTTTCTCTCTCTTATCTACCCATTTTCTCTCATCAACTCATCGATAAAAAATAGACAAGTACAATATTTTTTTAGGTTGGAAACTAAACCAATCATAAACATTTAATTAATAATTTTTATACAATTCAATTACTTGAAATTTATTTTTTTTAATGCAAATTTATGTTCTTAATCAAACGCACATTAGGAGTGTGATATGAAAAATATCTAGCTAATTCTAAAGATTTCGTAGTCTGCTACTAGTACCACTAGTTTGTTTTCCAACACGTGCAGGTTAACTATGCTGACTAAAATGGATTAATTTTTGAAAAGTTGAGGACGAAAGTATAAGTCACCTCAGGGGTTGGGGTTATTATATATTTCTTTCCATAAAAAAAGTGACCTATCATTTATAGGGAAACTCTTCTTGGTCCGGCTCAATGCCAGGCCCAAGAACAGGGCGCCCATGTGACGCCCCCCTATTGGAGGGGGGGCTATAGCCCCCCCTCCAATAGGGGGGCGTCACATGGGCGCCCTGTTCTTGGGCCTGGCATTGAGCCGGACCAAGAAGAGTTTCCCTATAAATGATAGGTCACTTTTTTTATGGAAAGAAATATATAATAACCCCAACCCCTGAGGTGACTTATACTTTCGTCCTCAACTTTTCAAAAATTAATCCATTTTAGTCAGCATAGTTAACCTGCACGTGTTGGAAAACAAACTAGTGGTACTAGTAGCAGACTACGAAATCTTTAGAATTAGCTAGATATTTTTCATATCACACTCCTAATGTGCGTTTGATTAAGAACATAAATTTGCATTAAAAAAAATAAATTTCAAGTAATTGAATTGTATAAAAATTATTAATTAAATGTTTATGATTGGTTTAGTTTCCAACCTAAAAAAATATTGTACTTGTCTATTTTTTATCGATGAGTTGATGAGAGAAAATGGGTAGATAAGAGAGAGAAACATAGTGAATTACCTGAAAAATAAAAACCTAGCTAGAAAATATTTTCCTTATTTTTGAGGAAAATATGGCTACATAACCAAAAATTGGAAAATACTTTTTTTTACGAAAAGAAAAGATATCAATCACACACCCAAAAAATAGGAACTTGGTTGAACAATTTTCNGACCTATAATTTGTAATAGATGAAAGAGAAAATCAAATTTAACTTTATGGGACAAAGTCCCATAAAGTTAAATTTGATTTTCTCTTTCATCTATTACAAATTATAGGTCACTTTTTTATGGAAAGAAATATATATTTTTTATTTTTTAATATGTTCCTATTTAATCTATCTTATTATCAACAAATATAAACTAATAATGTTTAAACGATTATTTAATATAAGTATATTAAGAAAAATGTAAGAAAAATTTATATTTTCCAAGAAATTTGAATTTATTTCTCGCCTTTAAATCAAAATCGTGTATAAAATAATATTAAATAAAAATATAAACGTGGAGGAAACATGAAAGGAAATGAGATATTTTGATTCTCTCCCTTCCTTGTTTCCACCATATTGTCAATTAAAGGTGACCAAGTGCTAGTTAGTGTTTGCCTATCATTATTTAAATTTTTTTTTTTCTCAAATTCATTTTTAACCACATATTCCGATAATAAAATATTTTACACGTAAATACAAAACTCTTTTCGTACTTTTTAACAATACATCCTTAAAAAATTCACTATTTAAAAACTCATTTTCACTGAATAATGATAGACAAACAAGGACTTAGTTTTGTCTTGCGATGGATCAAAGGGAGGGAAGAATACTTCCTCTATTTGTGACCCTTTCAGAATCCCCGAGGTGAGAGCCCAAGGGCAGTCTCGATCTTCCCTACGAGATGTTAAGGGATATATATCTCATATCGATAAATGATATTGACACAGATCAATTAATAAAGATCTTGGGCCACCCCTGTTAAAAATGTTGACCTTTTAAGATGGAACTCAAATTCTTAATACGAGAGACATTTATTTACTTCGAAATAAAAAAATTGTTATTTTGACATAAGAAATAATTTGTTTGGTAGTGCTTTTAAGAAATTATAAGTTATGAATTTTCCCCTTCCTTTTCTCCTTTTGTCTTTCTTTGTTGGTTCCCGAGCTTCCGCCGTTTTGCTGGCGTTGGTTGGGCGGGGTGGTGGTGCGGTCGGACGAGCAGTGGTGGCTGTTTTCGTGTCTGCTTTGGTAGGAGAGAGGGGCGATCGAGGTTAGGTCGGTGGTGAGCGGCGGGCTCGGTCGTTGCGATCTCCGGTGGCGGGAGTAGGNATATTGACACAGATCAATTAATAAAGATCTTGGGCCACCCCTGTTAAAAATGTTGACTTTTTAAGATGGAACTCCAATTCTTAATACGAGAGACATTTATTTACTTCGAAATAAAAAAAATTGTTATTTTGACGTAAGAAATAATTTGTTTGGTAGCGCTTTTAAGAAATTATAAGTTATGAATTTTATCGAATATATGGATCAAAGGAAGGGAAGAATACTTCCTCTATTTGTGACCCTTTCAAAATCTCCTAGGTAAGGGCCTTGGTGCCATTCTTGGCCATCCCTACAAGAGACATTTATTTAGTCCCTGTTTCGGCTACATTATTTTTTTCATTCTCATTCTTCTACTCATTTTTAACCACACATTATTCAATAAAATAATATTTTTTATCATATCAATAACTTTTCTTTTTTTTTTTCAACCACACATTCTCCATCACATCACTTCAAAAAAAATGCATTCTTTCATTTTAATGTGTATCAAACGGGCTCTTAGTTCAAAATAAAAAAAAATTGTTATTTTAACATAAGCAATAATTTGTTTGGTAGTACTTTTAAGAAATTATAAGTTATGAATTTTATCATAATAAATTGTAAATCCTAAGCTACGTGAAGATAAAAAAATAAAATAATTTAACCTTCACCAAACGTGACATAGAAGCGCAGTCAACTTGGAAAAAACGGACAATTCACCGGGCGAATCCACGCAAAGGAAAGAGTAACGTAGTCTATCTTGTCTTCTTATACTAGATATTTCACATGGTGTGTCATCGTAACCTGATATGACTTGCCGAATAAACACAAGTATGCAAATCTGCGAGCAATCTCTGAAAAATTGTGGTCTACAGAAGTGCTGATTTTCCATACCCAACTTGTTTTTAATTAGTGGCACCATTTATTTCACTTTATGGCTTATGCACTAGTGCTTTTTATTCGTTTATCTCAAGCCCGCCAATAGTAAAACCCCTGCAACTGGCTTCTGAGTCTCCTCTTCTGGTAATCTATAGATTTTTCTTTTCCTTTTCATTCTGTTTATCACAGTTTTCTTTGGAGTTTGATTGGGTAATCTATATTTAATTTCATATGAATTAGTGATTAAATCTGGGTTCGTCATTCATAGCCAGGCCCAGCAACCCTCGATTCTAAACTTGCAATTGTGCTCATCAGAATGCCTGTGCATGTGTTTACAGTTTGATTTATTGAACTGTTGGTTTCAATTTTTTTTGTTGTTTATTTTGAATACCATGAAAGTTTGGGGTTTCCCTTATCTGGAAAGTTGGCATGCTTTTGGTTTCTTTTTGGCCTTAAGGGGACATGCAATCAAAAAAACAAAATATGCTTGCAAGTTCTAGGAAAAAGTGAACATTTATTCTTCAAAATATGTATCTGTGTTAAACCATCTCGTTTAATTATTTGCGTGTACACATATTTTTATTTGTTATAATTTGCTTCAACTACATATTATTTTCGTATGATTATCTGTTTTCTGGTTAAATATGTTGATTTTACTTTTTTTTTTACTTCTGAGCCTCATGTCCTATTCCTCTAAAACTACTTTGTCGTGGGTTGATATAATGCAGATTTTTCAGAAATTCTTTACTATTTTTACTGAGATTATTTTCACAGGAATTAATTGATTCAACGTATATCAGAGAATTTCTTACAGCACTAATTTTAGAAGTTGTTTGTTCCCCATCTAGCAGGTTGAAATCTGGGTTTGGATTATACAATTTACCATGAAACTCTTTTTTCTTTTGGTCTTACTGGCTTTCTTCAATGGTTATGGAGTTTCGAAAAGTTTCCCCACAAGGCCTGATGTTGTGAGCATTGGTTCGGTACTTTCTGTTGATTCAATTATTGGTAAAGTTGCAAAAGTTGCTATAGAAGCTGCAGTAGAAGACGTGAATGCCAATCCTGATGTTCTTGGAGGAACCAAGCTCAAATTGTCATTACATGATAGTAATTTCAGTGGATTTTTAGGAATAATGGAGGGTAAATTCTTTATGACATCTACTGCTAATCATTTCTGCAATTTGAATTTAAATTATCACACTGTCTCTAGTACTCTTCTAGTCTGGCGAGAAAAAAATAATTCTTTTATGATATTATTTTGACTTGAGTCTTTTGTTCATCAAACTGTTTGATGATGACAGCTATCCGCTTCATGGAGATGGAAACTGTAGCCATAATTGGACCTCAATCCTCTGTTACCACCCACGTTGTGTCCTACTTTGCAAATGAGCTGCAAGTCCCGTTATTATCTTTTTCATCGACAGAACCGACCCTGTCTCCACTTCAGTTTCCATTTTTTGTGCGGACGTCTCTTAATGACCTTTTTCAGATGGCGGCAATTGCTGACATCATCAGTTACTATGGTTGGAGAGAAGTAATTGCTATTTATGTTGACGATGATTATGGAAGGAATGGTATAGTTGCCTTATCTGATCAATTGTCTACAAGGAGAAGTAAGATTTCTTATAGAGCACCTTTAAGATCTCGAGCGAGCATAGATGAAATAAGAGATGTTTTGGTTCAGGTGGCTTTAACAGAGTCCCGAATACTTGTTGTTCACACTTATCCCGAGAGGGGTCCAGACATAATGGCTACAGCACAATATTTGGGGATGATGAATGAGGGATACGTGTGGCTTGCTACAAATTGGCTCTCAACTCTCTTGGATACTAATCCTCCTGTGTCTTCGGAAGCAACTAAGAATATTCAAGGAGTTATCACATTGCGTATATACACTGCAGAATCAAAACCAAAGAAAGACTTCATATCTAGGTGGAAAACTCTGACAAGAAACGAGGAAACTGGTGCCTCTATTGGTTTGAGCACATATGGTCTGTATGCCTACGACACTGTTTGGTTGCTTGCTCATGCCATTGATACATTCTTTCAGCGAGGGGGAAACATTTCTTTTTCTTCTCATCTAAAATTAAAGGAATTGCTTGGAGGCAATCTACATTTTAAGGCCATGAGCATCTTTAATGGAGGGAACCTGTTGCTTGACAGCATTTTACAGGTCAATATGACTGGCGTGACAGGACCATTCAGGTTTACTTCAGATAGAAACCTTGTCCTCCCTGCATTTGAAGTTATTAACGTCATCGGCTCAGGATCTAGAAAGGTTGGTTATTGGTCTAATAATTCCGGTTTATCAGTGCAGCCTCCAAATACACTCTATACCAAGCCACCAGATCATTCTAGTTCTAATAAAAAATTATATGCTATAATTTGGCCTGGAGAAACAACACTGATACCTCGTGGGTGGGTGTTTCCATACAATGGGAGGCACCTGACAATTGGGGTCCCAAATCGAGTTAGTTTTGTCGACTTTGTTGCTCAGATTCCAGGCACTGACATGTTCAAAGGTTACTGCATCGATGTTTTTACTGCCGCTTTAAGTTTATTGCCATATGCTGTTCCATACAAAATGATCTCCTATGGAGATGGTCATAACAACCCCAGTGGCACTGAGCTTATCCACTTGATTACATCTGGGGTATGTGTAAATTCCCAATTATTCCTTTTACCTCAAGAATTTTATGGCCTTAACATAATTTCTTTAGTTTTTCTTCTACCATTCAGGCTTTTGATGCTGCAGTTGGTGACATTGCAATAACCACTAATCGAACAAGGATGGCAGATTTTACACATCCATTTGTTGAGTCTGGGCTAGTTGTAGTGGCGCCTATTAAGAAGATTCATTCTAATGGTTGGGCTTTTCTTCAACCGTTCTCTCATAAGATGTGGGCTGTCACGGGAATTTTCTTCCTATTCATGGGTGTAGTTGTTTGGATATTGGAGCATAGGACAAATGACGATTTTCGTGGTCCTCCTAGAAAACAATTCATTACTGTTCTATGGTGAGCTTCATTGTATTTCATTTCATCTCCAAAAGTGCATTTTAAACTATATTGGAGATAATCGAAAACGGTTTTACCTCCAAATTTCTTTGAGTTCAAGTCTATGAATGAATTTTAGAACTCGTCTTTCTTCTGCAAGTTGTTTCTGATCACATTATCGAAGTTCTGGAAAGGCGAAGTACTGCATTTGATTTTCTGTATCCTTCCCTTTATTTTTAATGTTATATTAGTGGACAGTCACGTCCCTCCAAGTCATTAATATTTCATCATATGCTTATCTTTGGGATTTCACCTTGCAGGTTTAGCTTTTCGACTCTCATTTTTGCCCAAAGTAGGTGACTGTGAAACTATATGAACTTACTATTGAATGACCAGTAGGAAAAAATCAAATTTTAACATGGTGATTTATGCAGGAGAAAATATTGTCAGCACTCTTGGACGCTTATTGGTTATCCTGTGGCTATTCGCTGTCTTAATAATCAACTCCAGTTACACTGCTAGCCTAACATCAATCCTTACAGTGCAGCAGCTCTCTTCACCAATTAAAGGAATTGGAAGTCTACTAAATAGCAAAGACCCTATAGGTTACCAGCAGGGTTCTTTTGCGCGAGATTATCTTGTTGAGGAACTTGGCGTTCAAGAGTCTAGACTTGTTCCGCTTAAGTTACCAGAAGATTATGTTAAAGCTTTAAAGGACGGTCCTCAAAATGGTGGTGTAGCCGCTCTGATTGATGAGCGTGCATATGCAGAAGTCTTTCTTTCAACACATTGTGAATTTAGTATTGTTGGTAAAGAGTTCACAAAAAATGGATGGGGATTTGTAAGTATATCTTCTCAACACCACTTGTTATCCCTCCCCCACCCCCAATAACTGACAGCTTCAATTTGATATTTATTAAGTGTTTTAATCAGGCATTTCAACGGGACTCCCGGCTGGCAGTCGACATGTCAACAGCAATTCTGAGACTGTCGGAGAATGGTGATCTCCAACGAATCCATGACAAGTGGCTGTTAGGAAGTGCTTGCAGTTTACAAGGTGCAAAGCTCGAAGTAGACAGGCTTTCGCTCACGATCTTTGAAGGTCTCTTTCTCATATGTGGATTAGCATGCCTCTTAGCGCTGGTCATATATTTCATAAAAATGATACGTCTATTCATTAGACTTCGCTCTGAGTCCGAGTCCCCTGGCGAAAGCTCAATATCACAGCGACTCCAGACATTCCTTTCATTTGCCGACGAAAAGGAAGAGGAAGTAAAAGCTTGCTCTATGCGGAGACAACAAGAGTGGGCTTCTACTAGAAGTCTTGACCAAAATCCATCGACAGTTTATTCTATGAAGCATTCAGAAATATCTTCAAATAGAAGCATTAGCTTCGGAGAACCTAGTTCCCACTATAACATGTAAATTTCACCTTTCTCCCAGTGGGCTTCAAGAAATCATCATACTCTTTAGATCTTGAGATTGCAATTGTATTTACTATTTTGTAAGATTATGTTAAAAAAAAAAAAAAACATAAACAACAAAAGGAAGTGTTAATAGCAAGGCCTAGTTTATATGTTTTGGAATTCGGTCTCAGTTTGCAGTATCTTATCTCAAATCAATGCACAACCACGAACTCAACACTCCACACCTATGTTACTCCGATTGTCCAAGTTAATATATCCACAAAGGACACAATATGGTGGCTGCAATATGTAACCAAGAAGAGAGGAAGACAGATTTCGTTTCTCCGCCACAAAGAGAAATAACACAAAGGACGGCTGCCTCTTTTTTCACTACTAGTGTCAGACGTGCGTTGCACGACTCGACATCAAGTGTATGTATTGATGATGGTTATGTTGGGATAATTTTTGGAGCTTGTTTGGGAGGGATTTTAATTCAATTAAAATTAAAAATATAACCGTTATTGTACCTTTAATCGTCTAGCCAACTCCTTAGCTTGGAGTATATTAGCGAGTTTTGACTGGCCATATGCAACCCACTTTTTGTACCTACATGTAGACAATCAAAATCACACATGAAAATATATTATTTTCCTTGAATTCATAACCTGATTCAATAGATGAATTAGAAAAGGAGATTGAATCAAATACCCCTTTATCATTGAGCCTATTGAAACGAATTCCTTCGTTATATGTAAAGCGGGATGCACTGCAAGGATAGATAAGAAAAAAACGCAATTGTTCCAAAATTACGCTCGATCTAAGCTACAATTAATGGTGTACAAAGCATCAAGCCCGTGGAAGGAAAATGCTCGGGTTAGTATTTTAGTTTCTACTTGAAGTTTAAGAAACAAATAGAAACTGTGCAACGCCAAAACCTTTCCCTTCATCTTCTTTTTTAAGGAGTAATCCTCTCACTACATATGTACCCTTGCCCCCATCCAATCAGTAACACCAACATACTTGACGGGAAAAAAAATGTATTGCAATAAACTTAACTCAATTCTACACTATATTTGAGTTTTTTTCTATATTACCGAAAAAGGAAGAAAAATTGCGGAAAATGGAGAAGAGGAGGTGAGTAATTTGTGCCCCTTTTGTTCGATTAACTAATGTTATTATTGGATCTTGTTCGTGAGATTGAGAAAAATAAAGATATTTATAGATTATTCTAATTTCTATGTACACTAAACTATTCCAATTATATTATTTTATTTATTTATTTTTTCCTTTTTCTCTGTCTCTGTTCTTCTGATTNATATTATTTATTTATTTTTTCCTTTTTCTCTGTCTCTGTTCTTCTGATTCTAGGTCTTGAATACTTTCACTTTCCAACTTTTCTTTGATAAATTACATGCTTATATTACTCATGTTTCAGGAATTCGTACTGAAAGTCAAAACCAAGAATATGAGCTGCCATTTTTCTGCACATCTACAATTTCAAAAGCCACCAATAACTTTTCTGTCGACAACAAGCTTGGATAAGGTGGATATGGGCAAGTCTATAAAGCAATATGATTGTCATAAAGAAATCATTTAACACAGTTCATAATCTTTGAATATGAAAGACTACATAGCTAGCAAATAGAACAATATCGAAGAATATTTGCGGAAATTTTGGAGGAAAATGATATTAGTAATATGCATATTTTTACATACATGTTACTCAGTCTGGTTTTGGAGATTACAAATTTACTGTCAACAAATTAACCACCGTGTCAAATTTTTTCCAACACCCTTACTGAGTCTAATGTTATAAACTTTTCTGTTCAATATATTCTCCTGCAATTCTGAGCATAACTTCAGTTTTGTGCAGCTTCTCTTCTTCATTTTCATTGTCCTGTGGATTCTGCTTGCTGGCACATAACCTGAAGAATTGACAAGGATCATTAATTACTGATCAATAAACTTAACTATAACGTTAGGAAAACAGATGGTACCTTTCACGTTGCAGTTGAAATTTGAGACATGTCGTAAAGATACATTCATTAATTCGCCAACAGGATCTCTTAAAACCTAAGAAAAGAACGCAAACACAAAATTAAGAATACGTCAAACTTCCCTGTTCCAACCAAGAATAAATAAAGTAAAATGAACTCATTACAAACCCATGAAGAAGCCAAAGATATTTTATACAAACTGGTAAATAAAAAATGTTCTATTCTATCTCTATGACATCACAGAAACAATGCCAAAAGTGTCTAGAAATTTGCTTTACCAAAAACAACTCAGACTGCCAAAAAATTGTCTACAACCTAGAGAAACCGAAGTATAGATTATTTGTGAGCAGTCTGATGTATAAATTAGTTAAAAACCACCTGTGTATTCTACTTAAATCATCAATTATGGAGACGAATTTGATGACTCCGACACTGAAAAAGACTATAACCACTTCG